TTAAGAAGACTGCGTTTCACTCTGGCGCAAAAAGCGGTGAAGCATATTAAGGGCAGCACTTTCTGGGTTTGACCCCTCAGTGCTAACTTTGACCGACTTAGCCAGACCCATCTCGAAGAAAGGGCAAGACTATTTGTTCCATCTGGGTCTTTTTTTTTTTTTTTTCCAGCTTGCTAACAACCGATCCTGACACACGGCCTGATCAATAAATAACCGATACTGTGATAGCAGGGAGTGTAGGTTGCTTCAGGACAACAGCACTTTAAAAATATATATATAAACAAAGGAAACGCAATGTATACGAATTAGAGATGCTGAGGATTTCATTAAAATGAATGTAACCCTACTTTTTTTTTTTTTTTTAAGGCTTTCCAACAAAGTCCTGTATCCACTCTGCGCACTTTTAGCATTCGTTTTGCAAAGTCACCAGATTTCGCACTTAAGAGCAATAATTGAATACGTAGAAGAAATAATCAGGTGATTTAAATTTAACTAAGGCATTAGCATGTAGTTTAGCACAGTAAAAATAGTATGATTTGTGGGAGGCAATTAACAATCATTTGCTCTGTGGATACAAGTAATTTGTTTAAAGAGCACTGACCTATGAGACAGCTAGTTTGTGTTGGCTGTGATGGAAGGGAGCTATTGACTCTAAACAGTGTAACAGCGCCATTGACAGAATCCCATTTGAATGCACACAAAAGATCTCGAAAATACTTGAGGAACACGAGATCTTTCCGAGGGGGGGAAGTGGAGTGGGGGTTAACCGAGGGAACCCAGCCAAAGCGGAGGTCTCCACACCGAGGCAAAACCGAGCCAAACCGCAGAATCTGGACAATGTAGTGAGTAAAGAGGGCTTCCCCCCCTTGGTGCTGTGCCAGCCCCAGAGCCCGGCCGTCCTTCGTCAACATAAATACTCTATCAGAAGGAACACAAACCGTGAGCGATCGCTGGTTGAGTAATGGCTTCATACGCTTAAAATTGAATGCAAGTCTTTGTGCAAAATAATCATTTTTATGTTCGCATCTAGCAAACGCATTGCAGGCCTGGGAATGGTTCCATCTATTCAACATTCACGCTCGCCCTACGCCTGCTTTGGACATGTTTGCAATCGACTGCCAATACCTTGCACAGCAGCCGGGTACAGTCTCCTGCAAACGATCTGTCGCCTCCCGACAATTTGGGTCATTTCTTTCACGGAGCAGAAGAAGTTATCAAAATGAGAGAGCGCCACGGAAGCATTAGGGCGAACCCGGTCAGCGTTAGAAGTTCCAAGCGCCAAGTTGCATTCTTTGAAACTCTTTTGCTATACCCTGGGTCGGACCGTGCTCCCTGTGTTGGCCAGGAGGTCATTATGCAAAATACGCGCTTAGAGAGAACGCTAACGCAGTGGCACAAATACGTTGTGAATACAGTACTGCCGCTCGCCTTCAGGTAAACCAACAGAGCCTGCAGAGCTTAAAATGCGTGTGTAAAGGTGCCATTTTATCTGTAACATCATTTCATTTAGAAGCATACAAATCACAGCTTCCCATAATCAAATAACGCTGCAGTGCTTATACTCTAATTAAAAAAAATAATCGCTGATATTTAATTTAGAAACCTGGAAGACTTTACCAGCAAAATTATGGCTACAACCTGCGCAAACCACCCGATTTACCCAGGCAGATAGAGGATTTCTAAGGTAGCACTTTTAAAATTATCGTTAAACAAGCAAACGATGCACTGTTCGATATATATTAAAACAAGTATTGCACCCAGTTATTAATTTGCACTGTTCGTTTTTAAATGCAGCAAATACCTCATTAATTTAATTTTAGGTGCCCACCAGTTTATATTGCATTTTACAGTCTAGAAGGCAATTTACTATTAACTGGCAATTACATACAGAATGATTGTTAATTCTGCTCCTAAGTGCTAGCTGCTTGAAAATTGTTATCTCTCTCTAATTTTTGACCTTCTTACAACAGGGGTGAGGTATACTGGGAATACAAAGGACTAGTAGAGAAGAGCTGGACATGTCATTTGTGACTCATTCTTTTAATTCACCGTGCTAATCAACTGAACTGCCACAATCTCCCAAGGTAATTGTATCTTTATAATAGTTGAAAGCAGCGGGCAAAAAGGCATGGATAGATGGGGAAAGGCCTTGCCTCTGCCTGCTGAGAGACGGCGCGCTCTTCCTTCTGCGTGAGACTAATGGGGGCTTTTTAGAAAAATCTGGAACTTTCATATCTCTGCACCCTGATCATTTAATGTCTCAACTTCTCTGCTCACAAAGGCTTTGTACACCACACTACACTCTTGTTTCATTATTCCGCAGCCTTGTTGCCCTATGGTCTACCTCATGCTGGGAAGGTTAAATGTTAGAGTGCCAAGCCAGACTGCAAGCATGGTGGGACACTGATGGGAAACAGATGCCCTGGGGATTCAGCCCCTCCCTCCTCCAGGGCTACATCATTTTCGTTTTCTGAAATACCGTGAGGCTTGGCTTCGCTCTCAATGGCAGCTGTAATTTCCAAAGACTATCTCAGTCACCCTATCACTTCAGGATAAAGCAAAGCAGGAAGAAGTTTCTCGGTCAGGCAGGCACTGGCTTTATCTTTTTATTTTCCCATCGCTGGGCTATAGGGTTTTGTTTCCCTCAAAAGGTGTTCTAAATACATGTTCCCGTTAAGGTGTTGTTGGCAATGCAGCTTTATTACGATGTCATTGCAGTGGGAGACGCTCCTGACACTCTCACGATTCTTTTAAACATCTCTACTTAGCGATAAATACAAAAGATGACCCAGGAAAGAAGAAACAAATGGCTTTTCTCACAGTTTCATACGTATTTGCATTTACACGTTAGAAGGAACTTCAAAACAGCAGCATTTGCCAAATTTGCAAAATCCGCACCTAAGAAATCAGTTAAGGGCATTGCTGTAAAGCAATTCAGAATTCCAGGACTGTGCACCGAGAGCCAGACCGTCATCTGGTTCAAATCTGCAGCGCTTCCCTGTGCGCAGTGGAACTGCACCAGCTCACAGCAGCTAAAATATCTGGAACTTAGTCTGAGGCTTTTAATTCATTCATTTTTCATCTTGCTGAACACTTATCTTAGCTCAACAGTCATACTTGTCGTGATACGCCGCTCTAGCTTTGCACGGACTGCGTTCCTCACGGCATTTTTCCGCCTGGGACGGCGGCTGCGCGCAGCCCCACCTGCGGCACCACCTCTGCAGCAGACCGCGCAACAGCCTCGGCTCCCCGGATATGTCGTCAGCACCCACAGCACCACGGGCACCACCACCCCATTTGGTAACTCTGGCAACAACCCGATCAGAAAGAGCAAGAAAACGTAAATATTCGCTCCCTCGCCAGCCAGAAGCGAGGCACCCAGAGGTGAATGCGAGCATTGGTTTCGCTCAGGGTGTGATTTCCTTGGGGAAAGATGGGAGATAGGCACCTCAGGCGCTGCCTTCACGTAAAAGTTCACGCCAGCCACAGATCAAACATATCCTCGACGCGTTAACTGTTTAAAAAGTCCTAGCTTAAAACTACCCAGGAACACACTTTTCCCATTAGATCTAAATTAATAGATAGAAACAGTTGCAGCCTAGTGGGAAAATATTCATCAAGAGGCACATCATCTGCACATCATCTGCAATCTGCATTATCTGCCCAATAAGCAGCAAGAACCCTCCCCAAATCCCTGCAGTCTGTCGAGTAAACAGTTAAAGGCTCTTTGTTTTCAAAAGAGAGATTGATTCATCAGATCAAATGTATTACCTAGAATCCTCATCCAAAAGTACAGTAAATTAAATTGCTATTTCTCCCCTTTCCCTCCCAGCACCTCAGTTAAATTCATTGTTAAACACCAGAGAAACAGTAATACACAGTTGTGATAAAAAGCCAGCAATGCTTCATCCCCAAGTAAGAATTTTCATAATAAAACCACTGGGAACCACAAAGTTCCAACTTTTTCTTGTGCTCTTGTAAATTAAAATCAACTGTATTTAAAAGAATTGGCGTAAATAAGTCATTCTCAGGCTTGTGAGTTTGCATCCCAAGTTTCAGGTCTGAAAGAACTTCTAGAGCCAGATCGTGAATAAGGTTGGATAAAGTTATTTGGATCCAACAATGGCTTCTTGAACCGGTGCCTAAAACTTCAACTGAACCTTTAGGGAAGTTCAAGAAGTTTGGATAGATAGCCTGAAAAGTATTTTTCATCACTGAATACATCTCAACTCCTTTTTTCTGGCTCAGGCAGAGTAGGAAATACCGTCATTAATCTATTTCTGGCCAAAAAGAAAACAGGAAGTAAGCGAGAGAGTGTGAGAGAGCTTGATCTCATGAGACACCGAGACATTTTTAAGACCCAAGAGGCTTGGATAGGCACCAGAGCTTCCGGGTGCCCACACAAACAGGTATTTTGAGGTCCAGCTACCACCAGCTACATTTCCTCCAAGATACATCCCATTTTTTAACAGCATTGTCATGTTCCCGCTTTGCACTGCCCGTACATCATTAAGAGGCAGGAGCTGGTATCCCAAAAGGGCTGAGGAGACCGTGCACTTACCAGTGTAGACGAATCGGCCGGGAGCACCTTTGCAGAACTGTTTGGATTTGTAGGAGAGGGTTACTTCAACAACTCCTGGAATGTGCCGTGGTGGTGTTTGAACTCTGATGGCGTGGGGTGTTATCAGCTATAAAAATCGTACAGAAAACATGCCTTAGATCACGATGGCACCGATAAGACCGATGCCAGCCCGTTCACATAATTACGAAGGCGACTTGCAATCGTATTTGTCGTCTCAAAGTTCCCCCTTTCTTGCTGTCGCCTTCCAAGATATGGGTTCTACAAGGGTTTTTTTAAGGAAAAGCTCTGTAAATGATCCTTGGTTTTCCTTTGCAGGAAAGGCCACAGGGCATCATTCATATGAAAATTGCCTCCATATGTCTCCTTAAGGCTACTCCTAGTAATTTTACCACTAATTGTCCAATTGTACTGGGAGACC